ATTGAGGAAGACACAAAGAAATGGAAAAACATTCCATGGTCATGGATTGGAAGAATAAATATTGTTAAAATGTCCATGCTACCCATAGAAATCTACACATTCTATGCAATCCCTATCAAAATACCATCAACGTTTTTCACAGAGCTGGAACAAACAATCCTGAAATTTGTATGGAACCAGAAAAGACCCCAAATAGCCAAAAGAATGTTGAAAAAGAAAACCAAAGCTGGAGGCATCACAATTCTGGAAGTCAAGATGTATTACAAAGCTGCGATCATCAAGACAGCATGGTACTGGCATAAAAACAGACACATAGATCAATGGAACAGAATAGAGAGCCCAGAAATGGACCCTCTACTCTATGGTCAACTAATCTTTGACAAAGCAGGAAAGAATATCCAGTGGAAAAAAAAAAAACAGTCTCTTCAACAAATGGTGTTGGGAAAATTGGACAGCCACGTGTAGAAGAATGAAACTGGACCATTTTCTTACACCATACACAAAAATAGACTCAAAGTGGATGAAAGACCTAAGTGTGAGACAGAAATCCATCAAAATTCTAGAGGAGAACACAGTCAGCAAGCTCTTTGACCTCGGCCACGGCAACTTGTTGCTAGACATGTCTTCAAAGGCAAGGGAAACAAAAGCAAAAATGAACTATTGGAACTTCATCAAAATAAAAAGCTTTTGCAGGAAGGAAACAGTCAACAAAACCAAAAGACAACTGACAGAATGGGAGAAGATATTTGCGAATGTCTTATCAGATAAGGGGCTAGTATCCAAAATCAATAAAGAACTTACCAACTCAACACCCAAAGAACAAATAATCCAGTCAAGAAATGGACAGAAGACATGAACAGACATTTCTCCAAAGAAGACATACAAATGGCCAACAGACACATGAAAAAATGCTCAACATCACTTGGAATCAGGGAAATGCGAACCAAAACCACAATGAGATACCACCTTACACCCGCCAGAATGGCTAAAATTAACAAGTCAGGAAACAACAGATGTTGGCAAGGATGCAGAGAAAAGGGAACCCTCCTACACTACTGGTGGGAATGCAAACTGGGGCAGTCACTCTAGAAAATAGTATGGAGGTTCCTCAAAAAAGTTGAAAATAGAGCTACCCTACACCCAGCAAATGCACTACTAGGTATTTACCCAAAGGATACAAACATAGTGATCCAAAGGGGCATATGCCCCTCAATGTTTATAGCAGCAATGTCCACAACAGCCAAAATATGTAAAGGGCCCAGATGTCCATTGACAGATGAATGGATAAAGGTGTGTGGGTATGTCTGTGCGTGTGTGTGTGTGTAATAGAATATTACTCAGCCATCAAAAAATGAAATCTTGCCATTTGCAATGACGTGTATGGAACTAGAGGGTATTATGCTAACCAAAATTAGTCAATCAGAGAAAGACAATTATCATATGATTTCACTCATATGTGTAAGTTAAGAAACAAAATAGGATCACAGGGGAAGGGAGAAAAAAATAAAATAAAATGAAATCAGAGAGGGAGACAAACCATAAGAGACTCCTATCTATAGGAAACAAACTGAGGATTGCTGGAGGGGAGGCGGGTGGGGGGATGGGGTAACTGGGGGATGGGCACTAAGGAGGGCACTTAATGTAATGAGCACTGGGTGTTGTATGCAACTGATCAATCACTAAACTCTTCCTCTAAATCTAATAATATGCTATATGTAAATTCAATTTAAATTTTTAAAAAGTAATTTAATTAAACTAATGGTAGCATGCATTATCAGGACGTGAAGCAAACCAAACTTTCATGCATTGATGATGAATGTAAAAATTGTTTCAACCACTTTGGAAAACTGTTGGTAGTATATACCACAGCTCACAGTCTGCTTACACAAAGACCCAGCGATTCTGCTCCAGGCTGACACCTAAGAGAAATGAGAACATTTGTTCACAGTAAGACTTGTCCAAGAACATTCACAGCAGCTTTATTCCTAACAGCAAAACCTGGAAAGAACCCAAATGTCCATAAACAGAATGGAATGTTTTGGTTGTTGGATATTCAGACAATGGAATATTACCCAACAGTTTTTAAAGAGAATAAACTACTGATCATGTGACAAAGATAAATTTCACAGACACTATATTAAATGAAAAACCAGCCACAAGAGGGTAGAGTGTGGGTTCCATTTCTATGAACAGGAAAAACAAATCTATGGTGACAGAAATCGACACAGCCAGGATGGCTTGGACATCCCCATCGGCCTCATTGGTGGCTCATCCTGGACGCCTGTGGTTGGGACTAGCCACCCAGACCGTCCATCCTACCCTCCTCCTGCAGCGGCATCCAGCCCCACAAACGCTGGGGCCAGCGCTGTTGCACGTGGGCCTTTCCAAGCACCAAGGTTTTGTTTCCTAGTTGAATTTAAGAAATAAACCTGCAGAGTGTCAAAAACAAAAACAAAAACACTTATTACCTCTGGATGGGGCTTATTGGCCAGGGTAGGGCCCAAGGGAAGCTTCTGGGGAGATAAAATGTTTAATATCTTGGGGTTTTTTTTTAAGATTTATTTATTTGAGAGAGCGAGAATGAGAGAGAGAGAGTACATGGGGGGGAGGGTCAGAGGGAGAAGCCAGCTCCTCGCCGAGCAGGGAGCCCGATGCGGGACTCGATCCCGGGATTTCGGGATCATGACCTGAGCCGAAGGCAGTCGCCCAACCAACTGAGCCGCCCAGGTGCCCAAAATGTTTAATATCTTGATATGGTGGTGTAGACAAAGATAAAATTCACAAGGTGTGCACTAAGATTTATGAACTTTTACACAAGTTATAATTCAGTTAGATTTTTTTTTAAGATTTTATTTACTTATTTGAGAGAGAGAGCACAAGCGGGGGCGGGAGGGGCAGAGAGAGAGGGAGAAGCAGACTCCCCACTGAGCAGGGAGCCTGATGTGGGGCTAGATCCCAGGACCTGGAGATCATGATCTGAGCTGAAAGCAGATGCTTAACCAACTGAGCCACCCAGGACCCCTAGAATTTTAAAACACAAAAACAGGGGTACCTGGGTGGCTCAGTTAAACATCTGACTCAATTTTGGCTCAGGTTGTGATCTGAGGGTTGTGAGATCGAGCCCTGTGTTGGGCTCCACACTGAGTATGGAGCCTGCTTAAGACTCTCTCTCTCGGGTGCCTGGGTGGCTCAGTTGCTTAAGCGCCTGCCTTCAGCTCAGGTCATGATCCTGGAGTCCTGGGATCGAGTCCCGCATCAGGCTCCCTGCTGAGCAGGGAGTCCGCTTCTCCCTCTGACCCTCCCCCCTCTCATGCTCTATCTCATTCTCTCTCTCAAATAAATAAAATATTTTTTAAAAAAAAGACTCTCTCTCTCCCTCTCCTTCTGTGCCCTCTTCTCTCCCTCCCTCTCTAAAAAGAAAAAGAAAAAAGAAACCCCAACAACACACAAAAACAGACCCCTGTGAGACTGAGAACAGGTACAAAGGAAGAAAAGTTCCCCAGAGTAAAGCACTGTGTACAGCCCCTGGATTCTGGAGCCAGACTCCATCATTTACCACCTGTATGACCTTGGTTAACTCACCTCGACTGGCTTGGCCTTAGTTTCCTCATCCATAAACTGGGGATGATAATAGTATCTACCTCAAAGTGTCATTGTGCAAAATAAGTAACTTAGAAGATTCAAAGCTTAGGGTAGTATCTACTATCTGTTAACAGTAAGCTCCAAACAATGACTTGCTGTTATGAAAATGAATAGTTGAATGTTCATCACTAGGGAGAAAGATGGTCACTAGAAGAATAAAAGGAACAATTTGCTGGAAACATTAAATATCAAAAATCTTCTCATTTTACTGCTTCAAAATATATAAATTAAAAATTGACAGAATTACAAGATTTATTCAGCAATCATGGTGGGAGAGCTTAACATAGCTGTCTCAGTACACAGATCATAGACGGATGTGGACTGAATGTTTGTGCCCCACCCCCATTCACATTCTGAAGCCTAATTCCCACTGTGATGGTATTAGGAGGTGGGACTTCCGGAGATGATTAGGTTATAAGGGTGGAACCATCATGAATGGGACTAGTGTTCTTCTACAAGACACCCCACAGAGCTCCCCTGCTCTCTTTCTGCCATGTGAGGACTGGGCAAGAAGATGGCCATCTATGAACCATGAAGCAGGCCTCACCAGAGAGCAATCTGCTGGCATCTTGATCTTGGACTCCAGTCTCCAGAACTATGAGGAAAAAGTCCTGTTGTTTTTAAGCCACTCAATCGATGGTAATTTTGTTATGCAGCCCAAACAGACTGATATTGACCAATATGTATAAATGTGTAGATTCTGAAACACAAATAATATGCTCAAATCTAGTGGACGTATATATAATGCAATACGTTGATTTCAACCACCCATGAAGCATTTATGGAAACTGACCCTATACTAAGTGCATCAGATACTGCATTTGGTGGTAATAAACCCATCCTACCCTCTCCCACCCCATCCCCAAAATAGCAACGTCATATGCCAGTAAGAAGTGCATCTTTTTCATGTCACAAGATGTCCACAAACAAACAGTCCAGGGCAGCTACACAAAGATACCATGGGGAGACGGGTTGGTGTGACTTCTGGCCACATTCTCCTTAGCCTGTGGCTTTTACCCTCATGGTCATGGGATGGCTCCTCTAGCACTGGACATCATGTCTGTTTGTACAAAGGGCAAGACGTGGAGGGATCAAGCTAAATGTTCCTTTGCAACATCCTTCCCAGGTATCACACCCAATGACTTCTCATACTTAGAAAGGCCAGGACTGGGGGCGCGGCCCCTCCTCCAGCTGCAAGGACCGGGAGATAGAGGTTTTTTTAACAGTGCACGTTACCAATCTGAACAAAAAAACGTAAGTCCTGTCGTAAGGAAGAAGGGGCAATTCTGACAGGCAACTAACGATACACCACACTAAAAACAGATAACTAACATTCAATAACATAAAGACCACATTCTCTGCTCACAATGTAATTAAATTAGAAACCAACAACAGAAAGTCATAAAATTAAAAAAAACACCCATATACATGCAGGAACTCTCCAGAAGGATAGAAATGTTCTATATCTTAAATGGCGTGCTGGTTACATATATATATGCATGCACCCATCAGAGTCTTCCAACTGTACACTTAAGATTTATGCATTTCACTATAAGTAATTATACCTCTATAAAAATATACCCATGTCCTGTTATTTTAAAATCTAATTACAAATAACTCACAGGCCAAAGAATAAGTGATAATAGAAACTAAGACAATATTTAGAGTTCAACCAAAATGAAAATATACATCAAAACATGTGACGTGGCTAAACAAGTACTACGAGAGATGATTATAGCCCAGAACGTGTATACTTTTAAAACTTGGAAGTCAGTCAGCAAGGGGCCCCCCCATACGGATGGGACACTGATAAAGGCAGGCCACCGTTCCTAACGTTCTCTCTCCCGGCATGAATCCTTTTATGCACAGTAAGCGAAGAGCTGTGCCTGAAGGCTTTCTCACACTGATTGCATTCATAGGGTTTCCCCGCAGTGTGAGTTCTCACATGCACGATAAGGTGTGAAGACTGACCAAAGGCTCGCCCGCATTCCTGACAGGCATACGGCTTCTTGCCGGTGTGGGTCCTCGCATGTTTCCTGAGGGATGAAGGTTCACTGAAGGCTCGCCCGCATTCCTGACACACATAGGGCTTCTCTCCAGTGTGAGTTCGCATGTGACTCTTGAGCGTTGAGAGGCGACTCAAGACCTGCCCACAAGTAGCACACTCATACAGTTTCTCCCCGGTGTGTATCCTCTTGTGGACGTTGAGATGAGTGCTCGTCCGGAAGGGCTTCCCACACTGGTTACACGCATACGGCTTCTCCCTGGTGTGAGTGCGCAGGTGTGTCTTCAGCGACGAGTGCTCCCTGAAGGCTTTTCCACACTGACTGCATCCAAAGGGCTTCTCCCCGGTGTGAGTCCTCAGGTGGCTCCTCAGAGAGGTCGGCTGATTAAATGCTTTCCCACAGTCCTTACACTCGTAGGGCTTCTCGCCTGTGTGGTTTCGCTGGTGCAGAATCAGGTTAAAGTTCCTTGTGAAGGTTTTCCCACACTGAGCACATTCGAAGGGCTTCTCCCCAGTGTGAGTCCTCAGGTGGCGCCGCAGATTCGAGGAGTACTTGAAGGCTTGCCGGCACTCCTGACATTCAAAGCACTTCTCCGTGGTATGAGTCTTCTGGTGCCTGATCAGGTCGGAGCTGTATCTGAAGGATTTCTCACATTTGTTACATGCGTAGGTTTTGTCCCCATGACAGATCTTGTCAGGCACGATTAGGTGAGCGGGCTGGAAGAAGGATTTTCCACCCTCGTGGCATTCATACGGGTTGCCGCCAGCGTGAATTCTCTGGTACTGAAAAAGTGGTTCAGTGCCGTGAAAGGGTTCCCCAAGTTCACTGTATTTATAGAGTTTTTCTCCAGTCTGGGGTTGCTCCTGTCAAGTGAGGAAAATAGGAAGACCAAAGACTATTACGTTCACAGACTCTCCCCCAGGTGAATTACATGTAGGGAAAAGGCATTTCTATAGCTGAAGCTTTTACCATTTCAGTGCGTCTGGGCCATTTCTACCCTGAGTCCCTTCAAGTGGATGCTCTGCCACAGAGAGCTGTCATTTTTGTTATGTTTGTGAGGCCTCTTAGACGCAGAGTTTTGCCGAGTTAAAGGCAAATTAAGTTTTAAACACTTGATGTCTGTTCACATTTATAAACATGGCTGCTTGTGGAAACTCTGGGAAACACATGCCTTGATCTACATGGAGGGTTTTCCCCAACTCATGACATTCACAGACTCTCTCCCAAGAACCTGCTTTCCCCTGGGTGAACACCACTTGCCTTGAATCTCTCTCTCTCTCTCTCTCAATCTCTCTCTCTCTCTCTGGCCTCTTGTGCTGCTTTTCTAATCTACAGCAACCCCAGACTTGTCCTACAACAGAGGACCAAGAAAAATCCTTGGGCACCTTACCCTTTTCATGCCAATGGATGGAATCTCTGCAAAAATATCTTGGTTAGAAATTCGATCTTGGGGTTGATGCTGAGGTTCTGGAATGAATAAGGATAGAAAAATTAAGTACACGGGGAAAGAAACTGTGGGACCAAGGCAACCAAAAAACTAAGAAGAGAACATGTGGATTTTCTTTTTTAAATACCGATTCTAGGGTGCCCGGGTGGCTCAGTTGGTTAAGCGACTGCCTTCAGCTCAGGTCATGATTCCAGACTCCTGGGATCGAGTCCCGCATCGGGCTCCCTGCTCAGCGAGGAGCCTGCTTCTCCCTCTGACCCTCCCCCCTCTCGTGTACTCTCTCTCTCTCATTCTTGCTCTCTCAAATAAATAAATATTAAAAAAAAAAAAAATACCGATTCTAGGGGCGCCTGGGTGGCTCAGTCAGTTAAGTGTCTGACTCTTGATTTCGGCTCAGGTCATGGTGTCAAGGCTGTGAGATTGAGCCCTGCATCAGGCTCCGCATTCAGTAGGGAGTCTGCTTGAGATTCTCTCTCTTCCTCTCCCTCTGCGTCTCCTCCCACTCATGTGCACAAATAAATACACTCTCTCACACACACAAATAATCTTTTTAAAAAAATAAAAAATAAATACTGATTCTAACTATGGGAGGAAATTGTGAAGAGGAAGAATGTATCAAAGAGTAAAGGAAATTTTAAGGTATTTGGCCACGTAAGGAGTCATGTAACCATAGGAACAAGGAACGGAGATTGTAGATAAGTTACTGAGAAAGAGTTCTCTGAAGATTGAGACTGAAATTGAGAGAAAGTATTGGCGAGAAGATACACTGGGGAGGCACTGGATAAAGATTACACACGTGTATACACATAAAATCCACACTGGATAAACTATACATGTGGAAATGATAAATGTGAAGAGGACGTAGGACAAATCATTCTATGAAACCAGAGTAGAGTATTATGGACAAAAAGGAAGGAGGTGGAATCCAGTAAAGCAGCTCCCGTCAAGGGCACTCGAAGTGTTTCCCTTACTGACAATTTCCAAACCTAACACTCATCTTTCGATCAGAGCTGTTGCTCCCTGATCTGCCTGCTGCTCACCTGGATGGGTTCCTGGGAAGCTTCTTCTCTCAGGGGGCCACAGCTCTTCTCCTGGCTCCAAGTGGGAAAACGTACTGGGTTTGCCTAGCTGACCTCCTGCTCATGGGGAAAGATGCAGGGTGTGAGCAGACCGTGCCTGCCATTAACCAGGGTTGATATTCTGAAGTCTTTAGGGGCACTGGGGAAGGGAAGAGCAAAATGAGCCTGCCTACATTCTCACGGGCATGGCAGGGCTTACACTAAGGAACCAAAGTATAAGCTCCCTCACTGGGTCCCAAAGGACAATGGGATTCTCCAGGCCCCAAAACCCAGGGCCTCGCTCAGAGACACACTTGAAAAGCCCAGAAACTTTTAACCATGGAGAAACAGCAGCAAAGATGCCTTCATTTCCACAGGGGAGCCCCTAGACTGTAAGCACTATTAGAGCAGGATTTGTCTGATTTTTTCACCTCTTGATTTCCCAAACCAGCACACCTCCAGGAATGCATAGGTGCTGCAGGAGTGTGTAGATGAAGCAACAAGCCTGGCCTTACCCACGGAGGCCAGGTTTCTATAGTTCTCCAGCATCACATCTCTGTACAGACTCCTCTGGGCAGAGTCTAGAAACATCCATTCTTCTGGGGTGAACAACACAGCAACATCCGCAAAGGTGACTGGTTCCTGAAACACACACCCGTCCCAGCTCAGCCAGAGGCCACCCCCACCAGTACTCAGGAGGCTGGTGAGGGGGCCAGCCAGCCTGGGGTAGGGATACCCATGCAGAGGATTCTCAGATGGGGCTCTGAGGTCTCAGAATCTGCCCTTTGACTCAGACCCCAGAACTAGAACACTCCTCTATCTACTCATTCCTCCCTGAGGGACAGCATCCAGACGTGTGGTATCAAAGGACTGAGCCACTGGCAACTAGCCAGGAAGCCCTGGCAGTTTTATTCCCTTCCAGCTCCAGGATCCAGCAGACCTGAGCATGTTGCCGGCAAGAGAGAAGTATTCAGTAAATGACAACTGTTTGCCCCAAGAGACCGTGAAGACTAGGAGGCAAGGACAGCTCACATCCCTTGCTGTTTTCCCTCCTGATGCTCAGCAGAATGAGGCACTCCACAGCTAGGGGAGGTCTGAATGAAGCAGTGGGACTGCTGCCTGGGTTGTCCCATGCACCTCCCCCTGACACATATTACGGGAGGTCCAGTGCCTGGAGGCCTGGAGACCAGCCCTGTGGGGTCGAGAAGCTCTAGTCCAAGGGAAGAGAACAAGGGCCCAAGCAAGAAGAGCAACAGGGATTTCTTACTTACCCACGGACAGGTGATCAGTACCCCCGGAGCCACAGCTTCATCCCCTGTGCCCTCCTTCCGGAGCCAGGCGGGGTCCTGGGCAAGCAGAGCTATAGGAAAGGAGGGAAGGCCAGGAGGCCCCGTGAGCACACCCACAGGACCGAAGGCGGCCCACCCCGACTGTGAGTGACCCCGTGTGCACACACATATGCGCACACCCACAGGGACACACACACATACAAGAGACACACACATGCACTTGCACACACTCACACGCTTAGGGACACGTGCACACTCACACACACATACACGTGCGTGCATTCACACAAACATGCGGACACATATACACACAGACGCAAAACATACGTACACGTGCACATACACATACTGAGAAGAACGTGCACACAAACACAGACACACGTGCAAACACGCACATACACGTGCACGTTTTTTCCATTCCGAATCTCTGGAGTCAAGGTCTCAATTCACCAACAGACTCTGGAGTTTCTGGGGCACCCCCCACTGCCCCTTGATTCAGGCCTGGGTCAGCATTCCTCCCTAGCTGCTCGGCCCCTACCTCTGCCTCACTCTGCGGGGCCAGTAGCACCCCAGGACTTACCACAAGGAGGGGACAGAGAAGCTGCCCGCACCCCAAGTCTGCCTGTGAGAAGGCAGCATCTCCCCTTCCTGCCTTCAAATCAACTACACCCCTCCCCCGCCCCGGGCCTCCTGGCTCGGCCTATTACAGACGAGCAAGTGACCCCCCACACACCATCTCTTTTCTCCCTGCGCCCTCACCTCCCACCGCAATGGGACCCTCCCCCTCAGAAATCAATCCTGACCTAAAAAATAATGCATATCATACAAATAAATAAAATAAATTGCAGATAATAAAAAAAGAAAACCTGAGCCATGTCCAATCTCTGACCACACATATTTCCCCCCTGGGGCTGGTGTAACAAAGTACCACAAACTGAGAGGTTTAAAGCCACAGATGCATATTCTCTCTCGGTTCTGGAGGCCAGAAGTCCAAGACCAAGGTGTCAGCAGGGCCACGCTGACGCTCTGGGCAGAATCCCTCCTCGCCTCTTCCTGGCTCCTGGCGGTGGCTGTCCGGAATCCTGGGCGCTCCTTGGCCTGCAGCTGCGTCCGTCTGATCTCTGCGTCTGTCGTCACATGGCTGTCCTCTCCCCCCGTGTCCCTGTCTCCTCCTGGCATGTTTCTCTCTTTTTTTTTTAAGATTTTATTTATTTGACAGAGAGAGAGCAGGGAGAAGGGGCAGAGGCAGAGGGAGAAGCAGGCTCCCCACTGAGCAGTAAGCCCGATGCAGGTCTGGATCCCAGGACCCTGGGATCATGACCTAAGCCAAAGGCAGACACTTAGCCGACCGAGCCACCCAAGCGCCCCACATTTCTCTTCTTAAAAGGACACCAGTCACACCGGATGAGAGCCCCCCCCAACCTGACCTCACTTTAACTCGATGGCAGCTGCAGAGACCTATTTCCAAGTAAGGTCCCAGTCACAGTCACAGGTACCAGCAGCTAATTAGGACATCAATATGCCTTTTTGGGGGGCCACAATTTAAGCCAAAACACTCTGCTTTACCCTCTACATACTGGTTTTGTTCCCCACTGTGGGCAACCAAGCCACCGTCCATTTCCTTACCTCCTGCTTACTCACGATCACCACCACTCCAAGGACAGGCACCTCACTCAGACCACCAGTGACCCCCCATCCCTGGTGGGGATCCAGTCAATGTGTGCAGTCATCTAATCCCTCCACCCTGAAGTGACCACACCCCCAGCTCCTTCTGTCTCCTGTACAACACCCTCCTCCATCCCTCACCCTTCTCACTTCCTTCAGCCTCTGCCTTGGCAGGTAGCCTCACCCGCTCTGGGTATCAGGTCCCAGCCCGGCTGACCGGGCCCAAACCCCCAGGCTGATTCTCTCCCCTGAACTCCAGACCCACCTCCACACCATCAGCTCAGGTCCCCACTCATCTGTCTGGGGAATTCGCCTTACAACCACAGTGAGCTGGGGGGCAGGGCTGCTGCCACTGCAGGCCTTGAACTTGCCCTGCTGGGTTTCGAGATTGCTTGGGACCCATAACCCCTTCTTTCTCTCCCTTTGGGAGAGGTAGCGTGTACCCTGTGCATGTCCCACCAATGTCTTTTGGAAGCAGAGGACTTGTTTTCTCATTTCACAGGTTCACAGATGAAGAAGAATTTTGCCCCTGGGAGAGACCACACCCCGAGTCTCACCCATGCCTGATTTAGATGATTCATATGGACTTGGGGACTTTTTGAGTTGATGAGATTTGGGACTTAGAGTTGATTCTGGAATGGGTAAAAACTTTGGGGGTGTCAAGATCATCTGACTGTATTTTGTATGTGGGGAGGACATGAATTTGGGGGAGGGGGACCAGAGGGCTGACCGTTATGGGTTGAATTGTGTCCCCCCAAGTTATGAAGCTGTAACCCCCCCACTACCTCAAAATGTGACCTTATTTAGAAACAGGGTCTTTGCAGATGTGATTAGCTAAGATGAAGTCACAGTGGAGTGGAGTGGTCCCCACACCCAATATGACTAGTGTCCTAAGAAGAGGAGAAAAGACAGAAGCAGGGACACAGGAGGGGAGAGGGCCATGTGACGACACAGCGATGTAGCTACAAGCCAAGGAACACCAGGGATTGCCAGGAAGGAGCCTCCGCACAGGCTTCACAGGAAGCACGGCCCTGCCAAACACCCTCATTGGAGACTTCTGGCCTCCAGAAATGTGAGATATGAACTTCTGTTGTCTCATCCCCCCTCAAAAAAATGTGCTCATCACCTTACTCTCAAAGGCTGTTCTCCTTCCAGTGTCCCTGATCTCAGGAAGCGACATCCCTGCCTCAGATGGGAAATCTCGCCCCGACACCCTGCAGACCCCAACAATTAATCCAAAAAAAAAAAAAAAATCCAAAAACTATACAAACAAAAAACAAAAACCACCTCAGTGATGACATCGCTACAGAGAGCACTCATCTCCCCCCGTCCCCACCCACCCTACTCCCTTTCCTCCTACCCCGGTCCCCACCATGGCTCATGCCACATCAGGCCTTTCCTTTTTGAATCCACTGAAGGATCACTCACTCCCTCAGAGTGCCTCCCCTCCTCAGTATCCTTCTTTTCTCTAGAAGGACCCTCCCCCTTTCCTCACAGCCCCTACCTGTTTGTAACCACATGGTTATTGGCTTCCTTAGGTGTGTATTTTCTGCCACTCTCGCAGGATTAGAAACTTCGGAAGAACAAGCTAGAGTTCCCTTTCCTTTCACCCCCGCCCTTCCCGCACTGTGCTTGGCACATGAATGCTCTGGATTGTCTGGTAAATGAAAGCATACAGGACTCACCAAATTACCTCAAATCAACCTCCTGCATATGTCTTAAATCATTTCGCAAATCCCTACCCTGTAGACAAGAACTAACACAACAGGCCTGACTGCTGGCCCTTGGGAACGTGGATCTCCAGAGGGTTCCCACCACCCTAACTGGCAAGAGGGGCTCACTCTTTTTAAACTGTTTCTATGAACACTGTGGTTTGTGCTGAACGCCTGCTTTCCTTCCAGGAGTCCGGCACCTACTGACAGGAGTCAGGTTCATGCTGGGCAGAGGGTGCCGACGTGACCAGCCCCAAGTGAAAATCCTGGGCGCCAAGTCTCTCCTGAGCTTCCCTGGTAGACATCACCTCACATGTGTTGTCACAGCTTGTTGCTGGGGGTATTAAGCATGTCCTGTGTGACTCCAGAAGCTCATGCCTAGACTCCCCCAGACTTCACCTAATGCTCCAGTGGACTGAGCTCTGCGCCCCTTCACTGTGATAAATCACCACCATAAGTACAACTGTGGGTCGAGGCCTAGGAGTCCTAGTGAATGGCCACAGCTGGGCGTGGTCTCAGGGACCCCGCCACACCCACTCCACACTCACCGCTGGTCAAGGCCACTGCCACCCCATTCCTCACTGCCTCCGCCCACCGCTCGGATCCTCCCTGAGGCCCCGCCACCTCCCAGGTGTTGGAGGGTTCTGCTAAAACTGCAGATGCACGGCACCACTCACCCAAACACATCCCTGGCTCCCAGCAGCCTAAGCACGCAGGCCGGGATTCTCCTCCCATGCTTCCATGCCCTGAATGATCTGGAGCCCAACCCTCTGAAGTCAGCTCACACCACTCTCCCCTCCCTCTGCTCCCTTCACACAGCCTTCCGTGGGTCCCCGGGCACACCAGGTTCTCTGCCTGCCCGCCTCCCCCCGGGAGGAATTTTACAGATGCCATTCCTAGGCCTGAAATCCTCCCCCCAAGCCTTCTCCCAACACCCCAACATCTTGCCACACTAAATGATACAGTAAATATCATGATCTAAGTTGATACTCATCCCCCAGGGCACATGTGGCAAAGTTCAGTATCTCAGTCAGCTCCGCTGCATAACAAAACACCATAGACAGGGCAGCTTAAACGGTAGAAATTTACTTCCTCACAGTTCTGGAGGCGGGAAGTCTGAAAGCGGGGTGCCAGCATGGTCGGGCTGGTGAGAGCGGTCTTCCTGGCTTGTACACAAAAGTCTTCTACTGTGTCCTCACTTGGCAGGGAGCTCTGGTGTCTCTCCCTCTTTTTATAAGGACACCAGTTCTATGGTATTGGGGCACCACCCTTATGACCGCCTGCAACCTTAACCACCTCCTTAAAGGCCCAGCCTCCACCCAATATGGTCACATGGGAGGTTAGGGCTACAGCATATGATCTTGGTGGGCAGGGGGGTGGGGACCAGCCACAGCTTCTGGAGACATTTTCAGCTGTCATGACTAGGGGCTGTTACAGGCTTAATTGTGTCCCTCTAAAAACTCATAGGATGAAGTCCTAATTAATACCCAGTACCTAGGGGCGCCTGGGTGGCTCAGTTGGTTAAGCGTCTGCCTTCAGCTCAGGTCATGATCCCGGGGTCCTGGGATCGAGCCCCACATCGGGCTCCCTGCTCAGGAGGCAGTCTGCTTCTCCCTCTCCCTCTGTCTGCCACTCTGCCTACTTGTGCTTTCTCTCTATCTCTCTGCCAAATAAATAAATAAAATCATTTAAAAAAAAATACCCAGTACCTCAGAATAGGACCATATTTGGACATGGGGTCTTTAAAGAGGTCATTAAAATGGGGTCAGTTGGGTGGGCCCTAATCCAATATGACTGGTGTCCTTATAACAAAACAAAATTTGAACAGAGACATATACAGAAAAAGAAAACACAAGAAGACAACCACCTATAAGCCAAGGAGAGATGCCTGGAACAGATCACAGCCCTGAGAAGAACCAACCCTGACAATCCCTTGAACTCAGACTTCTGGCCTCCAGAACTGTGAGAAAACAAGTTTTTGTGGTTGAGCCACTCAGTCTGTGGTCCTTTGTTATGGTGGCCCTGGTGGATCAATACAGGAGGCGCTACTGGCATCTAGTGGGTGGAGGTCAGGGATGCTGCCAAACATCCTATGGTGCACAGAATGGCCCCACCACAGAGAAGGATCCAACCCGATGTCAGTGTGCTGCAGCTGAGAACCTATGGTCTGACTTCCAGTTTCCAGAAACTCCTCTCTGCCCCCAAGATAAAGCCCTCGTGTTACATGCTTCCATTGTATTGTGGTCTTCGTTGAAAAATATGACCGCCCAGGCAGACTGTGAGCTCCACAGGGAAGGGGCCAATGTTTTATTTGAGATTGTCTCCCAGTGCCCACCTCACCACAGGGTAGCCAACTACAGCACCTGAAGAGTCATACTTCAAGAGCACAGGGTACTCCAAGTACTTCAAGAGTACTTCAAGGCAAAGCCTTGCCCGGAAAGTTTACCAAAAATACATAGAAGAGCAACACATAACATAATCTAAGAATTTCTTCCTGTCAATGATATAATAGATTCCAAACGCAAGACTGAATGATATTGTTCAGAAACAGTTTATTATTCTCACTAGAAGGCAAGATGGAAGGAGATAAATGCCTTGAAATTATAGCTAAGATGTTATTTGTCCCCCAGAATTAATTTTTCCTCCCACCTCTCAGGACATATGGTTTGTTTTAACCTCATTCTTTATAAGCTCAGTTAAAACATATGCCATTTACAGTAAATTCAACTGTCATCTTCAGCATCTACATAACTGTGGAGAATTTAACCTTGCCCAAAAAGAGGTCTGGACTTGGCCACAGCTGAAAGGGATCTGCTCTTTCTTAACAGAAAGACCAAAGACCAAAAAAAAAAAAAGATTCCCAGCCCACAATCCTGAAAATGTGCCTTTCCTCTTGAATGCATAAAGAACGGTGACATGACTTTATATATTCTCTCTTTCCGGTACAGGGAAATGCCTGCGGTCGGAGGAAGGGGGGGGTACAAGTTCCCGGACACAACACAGCACAGGCAGGGACCGCCAGGCTGCCAATTCCACCCGGCGCTCACTCACCAGAACCCCCAGCCGTCCCCAGCTCTGGAACACCCAGTGCAGGCACCGGCATGGCCACCCTCTGAATCTGCACAGCCGCCTTCAGCCCCTAGACAGAGTGACAGGGACAGATCAGAGTCACACGGTCAATGGAATCTGCTCCCAGCTCCTCACCCTGACCGAATTTGCAAGACTGACCCTGCTCTGGAAACACACTGATAGGGCGCCTGGGTGGCTCAGTCGGTTAAGCGACTGCCTTCAGCTCAGGTCATGATCCTGGAGTCCCGGGATCGAGTCCCACATCGGGCTCCCTGCTCAGCGAAGAGCCTGCTTCTCCCTCTGACCCTCCCCCCTCTCATGTACTCTCTCTCTCTCTCATTCTCACTTTCTCAAAATAAATAAATCTTTAAAAAAAAGAAAAGAAAAAGAAACACACTGATAACTGAGACATGCCCAATGTAGCTTGTCCAGATTAATCCAATCCGTGGGTACGAAACTAATCACTGTGATAGAATTTCAACTTCAAAAAGGAATGGAATATGCACCCCAATGTTCATAGCAGCAATGTCCGCAATAGCCAAACTGTGGAAAGAGCCGAGATGCCCTTCAACAGATGAATGGATAAAGAAGATGTGGTCCATATATACAATGGAATATTACTCAGCCATCAGAAAGGATGAATACCCAACTTTTACATCATGGGGGACTGGAGGAGATTATGCTAAGTGAAATAACTCAAGCAGAGAAAGTCAATTATATGGTTTCACTTATTTGTGGAACATAAAGAATAGCATGGAGGACATTAGGAGAAGGAAGGGAAAAATGAAAGAAGGGAAATCGGAGGGAGAGATGAACCATGAGAGACTATGGACTCTGAGAAACAGACTGAGGGTGTTAGAGGGGAGGAAGGGTGGGGGGATGGGTTAGCCTAGTGATGGGTGTTAAGGAGGACACGTACTGCAGGGAGCACTGGGTGTTATATGAAAACAATGGCTCGTGGATCACATCAAAAACTAATGATGTATTGTATGGTGACTAACATAACATAATAAAATTAAAAAAAAAAAAAAAAGGAATGGAGAGGGGGGCCCAGGCTGGGGGGAGGCAACCTCTGAGGAGCCTCCAGCAGTGGGGGAAACACTGGAGCAAAGAGAGGCGTGGATAGCCAGCAGGCTGAGGGGTAGTGGGGGGACGAGGAGGTGGACCTCCACACATGAGGCATGGTCACTAAGTTATTCCCGGAAGGAAGCCCTGTGGTGGGAGAAAGGATCTGAACTCTCCTCCACTGGAGGCCTCTCCCTCAGGGAAGGTGTCTGACCTGACTTGCATTTCTAAGGGCTGTCTCTAGCCTCTGTGTCCAGGGTGGGACCCGGTAGAAACAGGGGCCTGTAGGGAGCAGTTTCAGGGGTCCCAGAGAACTAACAGTGGCTCTGGGCAGGGTGGTGGCAGTGGGGACAGCAGGAGCAGTCAGAGATAAATTATATTTCGGGGGAGAAAAGCTCGCAGGACTTGGTGATGGATGGGAAGAAAATGTGGCAGGTCCCTCAGGGCAGGTAATGGGCAGAAATCCTGAACCACATGCGAGCCTTCCTGGCTGGCATTGGGCCCTCACAGCAAACGTCCTCCCCGGCTTACTGTATATCCAGAAGATCGAGGTGACACCCAGAGAGCCGGGTGGTCCTCTGGAACCAAAGGTGTCCCCCTGTCTCCAATTGTGGGCCTGATCTGCATCCTCAGGTCCAGCCCCAGCCCCTAGGAGAAGGCACAGAGGGGACTGAGCAGGACAGAGGCGGCACTGAGGCTGCTCTGGGCCTGAAGGACCCTCAGATTTGGGGTAGTGCCATCACAAGGCAGGTATGCAGGTCTGGCAGCTTCAGACCTGGTGACTCCCCCTACTCCACTGTGGGCCCCAGCCACTGAGGGTCTCAAGTGTGGGCCCCAGCCACTGAGGGTCTCAAGGACTGATCACGCCGCAGACGCAGAGGTGAACCTGACCCTTTCTGGTTCTGGGGGTTAGGCTAGGGGGTTGGGCCACAGGCTCTCAGAGGCACTGCAATACGCTTCACTGAAGAAAGGCTAGGAGCCCTCGGTTCTGAATATGAATGCTGTTCTGTTTTCTTAGAGTCTGTGTTTGTCTATTTGGCAGCCATCAGTCGCAGGACCAAACTATTGGCCAGAGCTATTTACATCTGCCCTGCCATCCACAGCCCATCCTCTGAACCCTGTCCTTATCCAAGGCTCACACAAGCTGATATCACCCTGCCCTGAAACAGCGTGGAAGGGACATGGCATGGGGGCGAGGGGGGCTAGGACAGTAGAAGCGCTGAGCCTGGAGACTGCTTCTTCAGCCTGTTTTGGGGTTCTTCTGGGAGCAGTCTCCAGCCCTCTATGTTCCTGTCCTCCCCTGGCCTAGCTGGCCATGAGGGGGAGGCCACAAGGCCTTATTCTCACATGACAGGGAGGCCTCAGAGCTGAGGATGAGGCCCACTGATGCCCGGAAGGGCTGGCTGAACCATCAGCACCTTCAACCACGTGGCGGGTTGTACGATTCCCAGCCGGTAGATCCTGGCAGCCAGGGCGGCAATCTCTGCAATTAGAGAGCTGCATCCTGGATTTGACTCCCAGCTCCAAATGTGGCTGTACCACTTATGGGCTCTGTGTCTTCGTGGATGACCCACTCAGTTTCTCCACATGTGTGTCCGAGTAGACTTCCTCTGCCCGCTCAGAACATTCTGTGACCACTCGTTTCCTTGTTTCCTGAGGCTCAGATGCAGCAGAAGCCCTCCTCTCCCACACTTAGTGCTCACTGCTGAGCTGGGAGTGGAACTCTGTGGAAGGTGCTAGAATCCCACACTAAGAGGAAAGAGCCCACAGAAACCGGAGAGGACAGCTGTCCCTTTTGGGTCCTCCTCCCTCACAGGGTCCATCTGCTAATCAAGACACGGGGGCGGTGAAGGCCTGGAGTACCTGTGTTCGCACCTTCACTGAACAAGCATTAACTGAGTGCTCTGTGATGATGCACAGAGTGCTCTGCATGGGGTTACTGCAACGATCCTGTCAGATGAGGCCCCTGCAATCCAGCAGCTCCAGTGAGGTATTTTCAGACCTCAGGGCCTCCAAAGCAACATGCCCTTTCCCAAGCAGCTATTGGAGGACATTCTCCACCTAAACAAAAATGTGAACCAATGGTGAGGAGGACCTGGGCAGTGAGGAGTGTCTCAGCTGCCCTGGGGTCTGATGCGAGCCATGCAGCGGTGAGGCTTTCAGCTGCCCTGCAGCCCACACCAGGCTGTGCAGGGTTGAGGCTCCGCATGCTCAGAGCAAAGCAATGAAACAGGTCTCTACCATCCAGGCCCTGCCACCCCATCCACTCGCTGGCGTCTCTTCACCCTGAGTCTGACACCATCCATGACAGAGGTGGAGGGTCACAGACTGAGGGAGCCCAGAGATCTCACCGGCTCTGGGACAAACAGGCCCAGCCTGGGGGTGAAACTGGGCTCTATATGTCCCTCTATCCACACCCTAACCCTCACCTTTGAAATCCCCAAGAACAGGAACCTAAACCTTGGAAATTCCTACAGTGTGGGGAGGCAGGAACTCAGGGCCAAGGTGGGAGTAGTGGGGCTCAGTCTGTTCCCTGGTACACTGGAATGCGCCAGCCGGCTCTAAAGGCTCTTCCACGCTTTGACAGGGGCTTATTTCTGCTGTGAGATCTTGATTTGTCTCCTAAGTGGAGAGGGGTCCGCAACAGCTCTCCCACGTCCCTTACAGTCAGGGTGACCCTCTCTCCCACGGTTCTCTTGTCAGGTCTAGGTTAGAGTACCTCCTGAAGCCATTCTGGATGCAGCTGAATCAACTCTCCAGGCAGAGTTTGCTCCTGGCTAGGGGTGAGTGACGACAAAAACCCCGCCAACACCCACAGAGTGCCCAGGGCTGCTCCCTTCCCTGTCGAGGCAAGTTTCTAGCACGTTCAGAGGCGCACCTCACTTAGGCAGGTTGAGGGCTCAAGGATGTTGAGGGCTTTCTCCCATTCGTGATTTCCATGGGGCTTCTCCAAAAGGCAGGAGTTTCCCATGACTATTGAGGAGTAAATCATACTGCACACAATCAATGTCTGACTCACACTGATGACAATGTTTACTTGGGAGAACATTCGAAGAAGGGTCTTGAGTGACAGACAGGGTTTACCCAAATTCAGGAGTCATGGCCACTCCCTTCAGACCATGTGGGAATGTCTTTGAGGAGATGCCCCAAATGTCTCCCTGGCTCTGGTGTGCATTTCCAACTCACAAATTCCTCAACTTCTCCCTAGAGAGGGAATAAGCATAATCCCCCATGAATCTTACCATTTGCATGCCATGGGACGAATTTTCCTCCAAAATATCCTGCACAGGAGTCGACACTTTGGATTTGAGATTCCCAGTCTAAAACAAATTAGAAAAAAAAATTAAGTTCTTTCAGAAATAGTGATATGAAATTGACCAAAATAAATATTTAAGTATTTATTGTTTTAAAATACTGTTTTTTAAATATTGAGCCTAAACTTGGGACGGTACTAAAAGGGAAGAAGGTGTCAGTGAGCAAAGGGAGACTCTGAAGAGTACAGCTGTGTGCGGAATCTGGCAGTGACAGGAGCGGGGGTGGGCGGGGATGAGAAACTATGTCTTCCGGGGATTGAGACAGATGTCGCCAGAAAGACAGCCTTATCAGAGAAATAAGTAAGAAGCAATTAGACAAAGAACACACACAGAAATGTTCGCTTTCATGAGGAATTGGACAATAAGTGTGGATATGATGTGCAGCAATTGGAACCCTCAACCACTGTTGGTGGGAATGTAAAATGGTGCATGCACCTGTCTGAGAAAGCACTTTGGTGGTTCCCCAAAAAGTTCAGTAAACGACCCAGCAACTCTACTCCTAAGTGTCAACCCAAGAGAAATGAAAACATACCCACATAAAATCTGGTACGTGAATGTTCACAACACTATTCACAAGAGCCAAAAAGTAGAAACAAACCCAACGTCTGTCCATAGACAAATGGACAAACAAAACATGGTCTACCCATACACTGGGACAGTATTCAGCCCTAAAAAGGAACAAGGCTCTGACACTCGCTACAATGTGGATGAACCTCAACAACATCACACTAACAAAAGATAGACACCCAAGGCCACATGTTGTGTGATTCTCTTTATATGAAGGATCCAGCACAGGCAAATCCATAGAGACTTCTGGGGCGGACGCGAGACTGGTGAAGGTGGCACAACTTTGTGAATATACTGAAAACCAGTGAATTGTACACTTTAAAAGGATGGATTCTTTGGTATGTGAATATCTCAATTTAAAAAAAGAGAGAGAGAGAGATGTGAATAGATCGTTTTCTGAGATCAATGAGAAGTAGGAATCAAAAACTAATGATGTAATGTATGGTGGTTAACATAACAATAAAAAATTATTAAAAAACCTGAAAAAAACAAAAGAAGTAGAAGGCTAGCAGAAGAAAAAAAAACACTACAGAAACTCACTTGAGAAACCTCACCCCAAAGAGTCTCATTTCCCCTTGTGATAAAGGGCCTCTGAAATGCTCTTAGACTGATACTTCCCAGCACACCGCCCCCCCCACCCGGTGGGCACCCCACACACACTCACCCACACCCGTGGAGCCCTCAGCTCTTCCTCTGGCCCCACCTGGGAGCCCAGACTGGGTTTGCATGGTGGAACACCCACTCCTGGACAAAGACACACATGCTGAGGGAGGCCGGGAGGGTTTGCAGTGGGCTTCCCACTTCCGCGTGGGCTTGAGCTCCTGGCGCTGAGCGAGTACCATAGGTAGCAAAGTGATCGTACCCAATTTCCAAAGAACTCAGTGAAGCTCTTTCACAAGGGCCCACACCACAAACACCCTCTCTCTGCCCCACAGGGATAAAGTCCTGAAACCCAAGGCCAAGTTCAATGAGACCCACGCAGGTTCTGACTATAGAAAGAATGAATACAATACAACAGATGGAGCTCTGTTTTCCTGTGGAAGCCCACACATCTTCCTTGGCCTCATAGCTGGCCCTTAAGATGCATTAGACACCCGCGTGGGAGAAGGACCAGCCTGATGCTAGCCTTACCCCTGGGGGCCAGGGTCCTACACTTGTCCAGGATCACGTATCGGCACAGGTTCTTCCATGCACCGTCCAGCATCGCCCACTCCTGGTTGAGCCCCACCGCCACATCCTCGAAGGTAACTGACTCCTAGAACAACGCACATATATTCTGGCTCCACAAGGACCACCTGCAGGACAACTGGTTATCACTGGGGAAGGGAGCACGTTCGGAACACTCCCACCACAGCAGGGCTCAGCAAACCTGGCCTGCCTCCTGTTTTTATAAATAAAGTTTTACTGGAACACAGCCATGCCCATTTGTTTGCCCATCTCTACAGTTGGTGTTGTGCCATAACAGCTGTGACCACGACAGGGATCACATGGCCAACTGAACAGACAAGACTTCCTTTCTTTTACTGGTTGGACAAATCGGAGAGTGTAAGCTTTGGCTCTCTTTGTCACTTCACACTACCAGTGACTGCCCAAGCCTATTTCTGGACTCTAGAGAGTTTTTCCTAAACTCTTTATTTAAGGCATCAGAGGTTTGGGATTGATCACTTAATTTTCATGAAATCCTTAGACCCCCTTCCCAAGACTTAAGCACTTTGTAATCTTTTATGTCTGTTGAGAACACGACTACCACTGCATCTGAGAAACTTAATGGTCTTTTCATCTCAGAACCCTGTAGCGCAGCATGGTCTGACAGAGCTTCCGTGAGGATGGGAATGTTCTAGGTCTGTGCTTTCCAAAAAGGCAGCCACCAGCACGTGTAGCTATTGAGCACCTGAGTGGTTCAGGCAACTAAGAAACTGG